TTGTGTCTGTAATGATAAACCTAATAATAATGGTTTCCACCCTTCTGCTACAATATTTTCAATCGGATTTATAGGTAGCACATTCTATTGTATAAACAGGGTTTTTTTTGTCATACTCAAACTTCCTATTTAAAAATCATATTGAGAAGTAATGAATTCATTGTATATCTAATTTCAAAACAAAAGCAGTTTTATTTTTTGTATATGTATGTTAAAAATATTAAAATTACAATAAACAATAAAATAGTTGACCAAGACTATGAAATCAGGCCTTTTGAAAACTAATCAGGTCAGTCAGGACAAGGTCCAAAAATCAGGGCATCTGGTAACCCTATGAATGCCCCTACTCAGGTGGCACCAATCAGTGAACTATTGACTTTGATTAATTTCACAAGATAATGTGCTTACTTGTGGGAGATTTTTATATTATTATAGGAATATTTAGAATAATTCTACATCTTAAGGTTGTAATTGCAAGATAAAAAAAGAGGTCATTATTTCAAAATTGTGTTCATGAAGGAGACAGAAATAGTTTAGCTGAGAAGAGAAGTAGATATTTATGATCAGCATGTATTATCTTATAATAAAACACTTGTTTGTTTTTATGCATAATTAATTTTGGCAAAATTAAAACAAAATCAGCTTTAGTGTTAAGTTAGCACCACTTTGGGCAAAATTAAATATTTTTAGGAGAAAAAAATACTCTAGCCTACATTGATGGCCAGAAGAAAAGCATACTTGGGAGGAAGGAAATGCCAACACACTGGAAGACCAGCAAAATGTCATCTTCTTGAGGCAGACAAAAGGGTACTGGAGGAATATAATTGATTAATTCCAAGCAAGCAAAGGCATTTATATAAATCACTGGGTTAAAAACACTAAAACAATAAACTCATTCATGTTACTTCTGTGCATAGTTGTATTTCAAAAATGGTGTATGTTCTTGCATGAATAAAATGAAATATTTATATATAATTTTACACAACCTAATTTTAAACTGTGCATTATTTCTAGAAGTTCGAAACTTCCTTTCCTATTATGTATAAGAAAAATGAGGTGAAATTTTTCATAAATGTCATATGTGGTTGCTACAGACTACATGTTTCGGATAATGCTCTTAAATAAGTATTTGTTATTTGACTTTGTTAATAAAAAATTAATGACTTTTGTGAAGTGAAATAAAATATATTCAATGACAATGAGCAGAACAATGAATTAAGATGTAGAAGTATTCTGTATAGTAATAAATTCAGTCACCTACACTGAAGACATTGTCTTCTGGAACTATTCAAATTAAAAAGTTCAGCAATTAATGCCGTCTGAAGGGGAATATTCATTCTGGCCAGTGGCCAAACATCCTTTGAAGGAAGGAGAATGGTATGCAATATCATAAGTTGAAAATTGGATTTGTTATAACAAGAGTAACAAGGCAGCTCCGTGGCATAAATTTCATATTTTGAATTATTTTGTTTTGAAATTAGATATACAGTGAATTGAAAAATTCTTAATACGATTTTGAAATAGTTTGTGAATTACAAAAGATACACTATTTGTACAGTACATTGTACTACCAATGAATCCCATTAAAAATGAAAAATATTGTTGCAGAAAGATTGACATGTTTCCATCCCGATATCATTGAGATTATCATTACTGATACAATTTCTTTTTTCACTTTATGCTTGGGTAACATTGTGGTTGCAGTAACACTACTTAATATACCTTCCTTTTTAGTAAAATATGCAGCAAATTCATATATGCATATCAATTTATTCTATCAATTTTCTGGGTGCAGAAAACTAAGTATTATGTAGTATTCCAACCAATATATTGTAGAAATAATGAGATAACACAATTAATGAAATATTTATTGGCAGATAATTTTTTCAAAACAAAATTCAACATTATTATGTGATTATTTTTTTATTAGTATGATTTTTTTTCCAATTGTATTTTGAAAATTACATACTAATGAAGGACTTAATATTTCAACAACTTTTGAAAATGTTTGAATTCACTGTCTCAATAATACATTAAAACCTTTTATTTGCCCACAACAAAGGTAGACAAACACACATGAATCACATGTTCTTAGTTTTCAAAGATGTTGTTTATAATGTTTTATTTTTCAATTTACCTGTAAACATAGAAGTATCTTGTATGTACTACCCTAAGAAACAAATCCAGCAAGTGAATTTTAAATGTACTTTACTCTTCTTACAACATACTGAGCCTAATTTACTTTAAATGCCTGATATGTGGCAAGACAATGACAGTAATTATGATTTATCCCTAAAACATTATCTTTTTTTTACCTATAATACAAGGTGTACAACTTTGCTTCCGCCGTTTTTCAATAGTTGGCTACAGTGGTAAGTAACGGTCCGGATAACCACAACGAAATCGCATACCGTCAGGCAGTTAGTGCTTGAGCTCGGCAACATAACCCTCATTCAAACATTATGCTGATTCGTGTGCGCAACCGTAACGTTGTTCGCGATTTAAAAATGTCAGTGTACGAGCCGAAATTCTCGTCTTTGCGGGAGGCTATGCTTTTTTGTTTCAATATTGAAGAAAACTAGCGGCGAGTCTCTCGAATGCCTCCGAGTACGTAATGGTGACGGACTGTATTAAGTGATAGAGCAGAACGTGTTGCGAGTGGTTTCAACGCTTCACGGAATGGTTGACTTTAACGTGGAAACCGCGCATAGTGGCGAAGAGTGAAAGTTTTAGGAGGAGCAGAATTGAGGCACTTGCTGTGTGAAGACTCGCGTCAACTCAAGAAGAAAACTGCGCCCGATCATTGGCGCTGATTGACACAGCAAGCCATTTCGAAACGTCTCAAATCCATGGCCATGGATTCAGAAAGAAGGAATTTTGGGACCATATGAAGTTGAAACGAAAGAGACTTGAAAGGCCGTTTCGTAACGACGTTGTTTTGTGAACCAGTTGCTTCAGAGGGCCAAAAACCGGAAGGGTTTTCTGCATCAATCGTTTGTGACCGGGAACGAAAAACCATGGGTTTTATTACGCTAACCCTAAACGGAAAAATCATGGGGTATCCGGCCATGCTCACACGTCCCGGACGGCCAACCTGAACATTCATGGCCAATGTCAAATGCTCTGCATTGGTGAGACCAGCCTTCGGCGTCGCTTACCATGAGCTTTTAGAAACCAAGCTGCAAACAATCACAGGTGAATGCGATATCGAACGCAATTAATGCGTTTCGAGCCGAGGAATTGAAAGACAAACGCCCGCCAATACAGCGAGAGGCACGATAAGGTGATTTTGCTGCATCGCACAATGCTATGCCCCACGTTGCAAAGAGTGGTCAAAAACGATACCTGAGACACCTTGAAATGAGACGTCTTACCCCACCCGCTGTATTCTCAGACGTTGCCTCCCTCTGATTATCCACTTTTCGCGAATCAATGGCGCCACACTGGCGCTAGAGCAACACTTCTGATCCTTTTGAAAGATGTCAAAAAAGTGGATTGATTCTGTGATCGACTCCAAAGATGAACAATTTTTTTCCGACCGGCATTCGCACACTGCCGGAAAGATGGGAAAAAAGTTGTGGCCAGCCCCGCATGGGACATTAACTTTGAATAATACTCTGTGCTAAGCATTTGTCAAATAACAGCTATGATTTTTGAGGAAAAAACGGCGGAAGCAAAGTTGTATACCTTGTATAAATCTTAAATATAATGTAAACCTTAAAATATTATTAATAATATGGTGAATATTAATTCTTCAGAAACATTTTACGTAAACCTTCATAAGTCATGGGTAGGTTTACTTACTGCCTGCTAAACTACAATCAATTGGTTATAATTTCAACTTATTGTTTTTATCACTGAACTAGATTTGATTGCATTTACATATTCTTTTTATTTTAGATATGTTTCATTCCCACAGCGGCTGTACTTAGACAATCATTCAGAATTAATTCTATAATTTCTTATTTTTTTGGGTCACTGTTAATTGTAATATTAATAAGTAGTATTTTAAGTGTAAGCTGTAAGTGAACATTGATTAAAATGTTTTCTAAAATTGTTTTATTTCTTATCAATGATCCATTTAATATTAATTTTGAAAAAAAAATATATATGTCAAACTTGGGTAATTGAAGTGACATGTTAAATTAGAAAATTCATATGATAACGACCCTATTTAACTTAATTTTTTATTGTTATGATTTCAAAACGGGTTGCAACATATCTCTCATTTATTTCGCAGTTGAAAATTCACCTCCAAACTCTTTTATTTATCAACAAAGCCTGACAAATAGGCATGTTCTCAGAAGCGCCGCACCTCTTATCTTTTCAGAGCCAACACGCAGCTGACACTTGCTTTTCGCATGCCCCATCACTGATCAAACGAGAGCTGAGATAAGTCCCATTTTCAAGTCTAATGGAACATGAAAACACGCAGCCAAGCTCAATGCTCTCTGCCAGTCTCTCGGCATGTGTGGTAGTGTGGAAGAATAAGTTTGTGCAAGTCATGAGTGAGGATAGGACAAGGAAGAGGAAAGAAAAATCGCGCGCGGTCCAAAGCCAGTTTGCTAGGGTACTACTCTAATATTAGCCTGGCATTTGTCGGATAAACTCCCTGAAAACCATCAATCTGAGCTGAGCCGGCCGCTGGAATTCTCCCCCAGGCTGCTGCTGAAATCGTCCCAGCTCGTGTCGAAACTCCTGCCATCCATCGGGACGTAAACCCTAGGGCTAAAACCCTAGGACTTAAACCCTGGGACTTAAACCCCAGGGCTTAAACCCTGGGACTTAAACCCTAGAGCTTAAACCCTAGGGCTTAAATTCTAGGACTGAAACCCTAGAACTTAAACTCTAGGGCTTAAACCCTAAGACTTAAACCTTAGGACTTAAACCCTAGGACTTAAACCCTAGGGCTTAAACCCTAGCACGTCAGTGACGTAGGCCGCTCGATGTGAGCTACCCCGTCTCCCGGAGTGCAGGTTGGTTCGCGAGAGACGACTCACCTCCCGGAGCGCCTCGGCATAGGAGGTCATGTCGGTCATGATGACGAGCACGTGCTTGTCGCACTGGTAGGCGAGGAACTCGGCGACGGTGAGCGCGAGGCGCGGGGTGATGATGCGCTCGATGGTGGGGTCGTTGGCCAGGTTGAGGAACAGCGCCACGTTGCTGGCGCTGCTCTTCTGGAACTCGTCCTTGAAGAAGCGCGCCGTCTCCAGGTTGACGCCCATCGCCGCGAACACGATGGCGAAGTCGGCCGACACGCGGCGCCCCTTGCCCTTGTTGGTCGCGTCCACCAGCCCGGCCTGCGCACGCCAATTCCCGTCCCGTCGAGGGAACGGGGGGTCAAATGGCTGACTTGGGTCTGGCGGCGATAACCTATGCTCACAAGTAAACACCAGTAATGCCTCTCCCGATTGTCAATAACAGATTTGTGTGAGAAATCTGCTAGTGTTGCTCTCTCCTAAGTTCTGTCGAAGGTGGTCTGTTCTGTTGACTTGGGTCTGGCGCGGGTGGGGGTGGGGGGTTCTACGCCCACAAGTAAGCACCATTAAAAACACTAGAAATGCCCCTCCTATAATGGGAATACACGATTAGGGTCAAGAGTCTGCAAGTCCTGCTCTTTCCTCTTAAATTCCGTCGAGGGGGTCAAATGGCTGACTTGGGTCTGGAGGGGATTTCTCCTATGTCCACAAGTAAGCACCATCAAAACCCCCAGAAATGTCCCTCCTGTAATGGAAATACCGATTTGTATCAGACGTCTGCAAGTCTTGCTCCCTCCTCCTAAGTTCTGTAGAGGGGGTCAAACGGATGACTTGGGTCTGTTAGGGGTTTTCCTAGCACAACAAGTAAGCACCATTAAAAACACCCATTATGCCCCTCCTGAAATGTGAATACCCGATTTGTTTCAGAAGTCTGTAAGTCTGGCTCTCTCTTAAGTTCTGTCAAGGGGCTCAAATGGCTTACTTGGGTCTGATGAGGCTTAGCTATGCCTACAAATAAGGACCATTAAAAAACACCTGTAATGCCCGTACTGTAATAGGAATATCCGATTTGTGTGAAGAGTCTGCAAGTCCTGCTCTCTCCTCCTAAGTCCTCTTCCTCTAACAGGAAACCAATCTCCTGCCTTGTAGGGAGGAGATGGGGTCTCCAAACGACTAAGAAAAGGAAACCAGCCTGCTGCCTTGCGGGATGAAAGGGATTTCAAAAGGTTAATGAAGGGAGCCTGAGAGAAAGTCAACTTGCTGTCTTGCACGGAGGAGAGGGATCACCAAAGGCTAAGGGAGGCAGCCCTGAACCAAAACACGGAGCCCCAGAGGTGGAGAGGGGATATTTTCCGCTGGTCCGTGTGGCGTAGGACTAATTGCTCACCCGTAATTATAAGCGGATTCTGAGTAAATACCAGTACTGAAAGCCACAAAGGGAAAGAAGAAGAATTTCTGCCGAATTGCGCCCGCGGAAGCCATTCTTCGATTTCAACAGTTAAGGCTGATTTACGCGTTGCCAGTAAACGCGCCAGTTGAGGTTGCCAGTAACAGGCGACGTGTTATCTGCAATTGCCAGAAGTTCGGTATTCCTGCCCTCACAATTCTTACATTCTAGTATAAAAAGTATCCCAAATATGTCCACACAAGAAGGTTCTCTATATAGAGAGACATATTTGGGATATTTTTTCTACCAGAATGTAAGAATTGAATTCTGTAAGAATTAAGAAATTGCAAGTGCCTGGCGAGGCGCACGGCTCCCAACACGAGTGTACGTTGATTTATACTTGATGAGGGATTAATGTGAGCTTAGAATTATTATTGTTATTATTATTATTATTATTATTATTATTATTATTATTATTATTATTATTATTATCATTATCATTATTATTATTATTAGGTTATCTTTTAAATGATTGGAAGGCAAAAGCCTTCTTGGATGACGAAAGAACAAACTGACAAGTTTGGCCGGCTATAACCGCAATTCTTACAGAATTCGATTCTTACATTCAGGTAGAAAAAAATTTCCCAAATATGTCTCTATATATAGAGAATCTTCTTGTGTGGACATATTTGGGATATTTTTTCTACAGAATGTAAGAATTGTGAGGGCAGGAATACCGAACTTCTGGCAATTGCAGATAAAATTGGAATAAATAACTTCTCCAAGGCAGATTAAGTGAATAAAAGAAAACATATTATATTAAAAAAATAATTTCAAAACTTTCGTGTCAAACGGCGTCCTTTTAAATGTCAAATTTTGTTCGATTTCATTTGTTCTACTTAAGATATTTCGATGGAATACATTTTGTTGCACCGTTGGTAGCTCAACTACAGTCCGGCGCCAGCAGCATGTTGCGATGTTTTTTTATTGTTCTGTGTTTACAATTTAATATCCATGTGTTGTTTACTGATCAGGGTTTTCCCGTAGTCATTACCAGATTTTAAAAAGAAATTCCTATAAGTTACCTGTGATTTTATAAATCTTTTATAAAAAAGAACTATGAAATATAGAAATTTGGTATTTTATGATTTGATTCAGGACACGATTTACAACAATATAGATTACAATAAATGTCCTACATTCAAATTAAATTGAAATATAATGACTTAACCTTTTGCATATATTAAAAAATATATTACAAAAAACTGTAATTGTAAACTATTTTGTAGTAATCTAATATATAAATGTTTAGATAATTATTTAAATGTTTAATTAATAAATAATTGATTAAATTAATTAAATAATTAATTAATTAAATCAATTAATTTATATAAATAATTAATTAAATTAAATTAATCAAATAATTAATTAATTAAATAATTACCTACGCATAGGTAGGCATACGTGACCCCCCCCTACGGGCCCATAAGTCCAGTGGTTAATGCAGTACACGTGTCGACCATGAGTCCGGACCCTCACCTGGCGGCAGATCTGCGCAGCGATCTCGTTGTGCGGCAGACCGGACCCGGAGAAGATGGGGATCTTTTGGCCGCGAGCGATGGTGTTCATCACGTCGATGGTGGAGATGCCGGTCTGCACCATCTCCTCCGGGTAGATCCGGCACTGCGGGTTAATGGGCATGCCCTGGAAATAAATGGTTAACAAACAAATACAGGGTGTCTGAGGGAAAAGCGTCAAAACTTCGTAAAAAAGCTCTCAAGACAATTTTAAGCATACTTTGTCTCTTTTATCCCCATCATGCATTGCAGAATCATAGAAACACTACAAAAATATGTAAATTATTTATTATTTACAAAAGAAATGAATATATTTAGTCAGAAAGAAAAAAATACCCGAGAAATAAAAAAGCGGTGGAAATGTGTAAATTTGGTGTTTTTTTATTTGTTTTTTTTATTTGGACCCTCAGCCTCAGCGGGCTATAAAGCAGTGCCCCGCCGGACAGAGGGCAGTTGACCGTCTACCAGCAGTATCGAGTGCATCAGTGAATTGTGAACAGTGTTGACGGAACAGCAAAGTGTACGGACTCTCTCGGACAGATACTTCGGTGCTATGGCTACTAACTTTGGACATCTCCCTGGGCAACGGCGACTTTGGCATACACTGGTACATCTTCAGGAAAATTGTTGGATCTGGCTTGTATAAGGTTACTCTGTACTGGTGTGAGATCAGGATAAATCTATTTTAAGAAATTACGTTTCTTTGGACATAACAGTTAACACATGTTTTTCTTCACTCTTCACCGTTGGGGTGATTCAGGAGATGTGGAAATCGAACTCCCGATCCAACTGCTCTTTGGTCTTACTGGGTCGCGTTTTGCTGTCAGACCTGGCAACGTGCTCATTTCATTCTCTCCTTGTTCTTGTAAATTTTACTATGTCTGTAATGTCACATTCATTTCTTTTGTCTTGGTATTCCAATCTATCCCATATTGTTACACCCAATAATGATATCAATGTTCTAAGTAGAGTCTTAGTTCTTCTATTATCGGCCCTTGTTTATGTTCCATATGTTGTTACAGATCTTACCATAGTTTGAAAATTTTTACTTTGCTTTCTACATTAAGATATTTGTTTCTACTTGTCACGTCTTTCAAATACCCCGATATTCAAGGACCTTTTATTACTTGTTCTCTCGACTCATTTATCCATTCTATATGGAATGTATCTCAGTTTCCTCGCTCCGCGAGTATATGGGTCAGGGCGTCCTCTCCTGCACATCATGGAATATTCCTGTTTTGGCAAATGTTCTTTTACCCATTCTACATTAAATGTATCTGAATTCCATCGGTCCGCGAGTAGATGCAGGGGGGAGGGGGAGGGCGTCCTCACCCGCACGTCATGGAATATTCCTGTTTTGGCATATATCTTTTTACCCATTCTACACTGCATGTACCTGAGTTTCATCGCTCCGCGAGTAGATGGGGAAGGGAAATGCGTCCTTACCTGACGTCATGGAATATTTCTGTATTTGCAAATGTCCTTTTATCCATTCTACATTAAATGTATCTGAGTTCCATCGGCCCGCGAGTAGATGGGGGGGAGGGGGGAGGGTGTCCTCACCTGCATGTCATGGAGTATTCTTGTATTGGCAAATGTCATTTTACCCATTCTACATTAAATGTATCTGAGTTTCATCGCTCCCCGAGTAGATGGGGGGGGGCAGGGCGTCATCACCTGCACGTCATGGAGTATTCTTGTATTGACAAATGTTCTTTTACCCATTCTACATTAAATGTATCTGAGTTTCATCGCTCCCCGAGTAGATGGGGAAGGGAAATGCGTCCTCTCCTGCACATCATGGAATATTCCTGTTTTGGCAAATGTTCTTTTACCCATTCTACATTAAATGTACCTGAGTTTCATCGCTTCGCGAGTAGATGGGGGAGGGCAGGGCGTCATCACCTGCACGTCATGGAATATTCCTGTATTGGCAAATGTCTTTTTACCCATTCTACACGGCATGCATTTGAGTTTCATCGCTCCGCGACGAGATGCGGGGGGAGGGCGTCCTCACCTGCACGTCGAGGTAGGTCTCGGCGAGGACGGGCGGGCCGCCGTCGATGGGGACGCCGCTGCCGTTGAAGGTGCGGCCCAGCATGTCCTCCGAGACGGGCACCCGCAGGATGTCCCCGGCGAATTCCACGGTGGTGCCCATGTTGTCGATGCCCGAAGTGCCCTCGAAAACCTGCACCACGGCACGCTCCCCGTGCACTTCCAGCACCTGCCGAGGCACGAGCAGTGGTTTAGTCAACCTCCTCCTCTAGGGTTTTTGGACCTCACCACAGTTCTACAACCAGCACATCCACACAAAAGTATAGAACAATTTCCCTCGAAAACCTACACCACGGCTCGCTCCCCGTGCACTTCCAGTACCTGCCGAGGCACGAGTAGTGGTTTAGTCAACCTCCTCCTCTAGGGTTTTTGGACCTCACCACAACCACCACATCCACACAAAAGTATAGAACAATTTTCCTCGAAAACTGCACCACGGCTCGCTCCCCGTGCACTTCCAGCACCTGCCGAGGCACGAGCAGTGGTTTAGTCAACCTCCACATCCACAGAAAAGTATAGAACACTACATTCCATCTGTGATTTCACTCCATTCCGAATCGGAACTTAGTTCACTACATTATAGTCACATGCAAGTTACACTCTATGAAACTTCTACAAGGTGCTACTATCAGACATTTTTACTTCAAGAATGCCAATAACTTATTCATCGTTTCTTACATTTCCAAGGAAAACAATGTTTCCCTTAAATAAAACAGTTTTTTTTTATTTCAAAAGTCTGTTGAACTGTGTTAAATATAGAATTTCATGGTCTTAAAACGATTTACCAGTCTTAAATAATACTTGAGGAGGAGCATTAGTCAATAGTAATGTTTTGGAAAGATGATTGAATTGAATTAATGCTTTAATTTACGTGTCGAGAATCAGCCCATGAGGCCTGCTCTTCCCTCTGACCACACAAATTTCGCTAGGCTCCATTCACCTACTAGCGGAGATGTGAAGTATATCTTGGGCGACGAAACAGGAATGTAACCGCCAAAAAAAGTGCAGTTCGATCTCTTTTCTTTTAAGGTCGCGAAATGGTCACCCATTGTGTTTAGATTACCCCGATATGTTAGAAGCACAGGAAAAAGGTAGTGTCTCCTGTATCTACTTTCTTATAATATTAATTAGAAACAATTTTTAAAAACCAAACATGTTTCGTATCATCGGTTTTCTGAAACATAAGCGGAAGCCTACGCTCTCACAAGATAGGAGTAGTTTCTAAGAAATCTCATGTACACAAAAAATTTTCTCTTATATGAAAAGGTGAAAACCAGATTGGTATATGTGACGTTTTATAAATTTAGAGAAATCTGTTTATTTAAATCAGATTGCTGTGAAGTTTAATCACAAAAATATCATTAGAGCCACGAAAATGCATTGCCACTGAAATATAGCCTTTAGTAACCATGTTTTCTTCAGAATTTATACAACGTATCTTCTGGTTTTAACCCATTCATATTACCTAGACTATTCTCCATCGTGGTGGCTGACGTTTCGGCCAACATACAGTGACCTTCTTCAGAGTGTTCTACTGGAGACTAAGGGAGGCCGTGATGTCTTGTCCGAAACGTCAGCCACCGCGACAGAGAATAGTCTAGGTAATATGAATGGGTCCAAACCAGAAGAGACATTGTATAAATTCTGAAGAAAACATGTCTACTAAAGGCTATATTTCAGTGGCAATGCATTTTCGTGGCTTTAATGATATTTTTATGATTGGACTTTACGGCAATTTGATTTAAATCGGCTCGGCCCGGATAGCCCGAATAATACAAGCTCCGCCTGCGGAAGTCTACGCAACCTAAAATTTTCTCTAGCCTACGTAATTGCTTTTTCCCTCCTGCGTACCTGTCCCGTGCGCCGGACGCCGTCGCTGAGACGTAGATGGACGATCTCCGCAAACATGGGGAACTTGACGTTGTCCAGGATGACCAGCGGCCCGTTCACCCCAGCCACCTGCCACAGCCACGTTCTCATTGGTTGATTGGTTAGTTTATTCCGGGCACCTCAACTGATAAGGCAATTAATCCCGTAAGTGTAGTGCATGCTTTCATCTCGCGAGGTGGCGGTGATCTTCCCCCGCTTGATGGCGAGATTTAGCGTTGATCTACACGAGGGTTTCCCCAACCAGGTGTCTCCCACCAGTCAGGCAACGCTCCAGCTGGTACAAACTCTAAGTTCCCCAACTGGTCCCCTGACATGTGGGGTAGTGTAGTGCATGCTAGTGTAAATGTGGGTAAGTGGAGTGGGTATGATCGCGTGCGGTCCGTGGCCCGTTTGTTAAGATATTGCTCCGGCATTCGCCTGGTGCTGATCAGAGAAACCACGGAAAACTACCGATCACAACAGCCGGTCTCTAGAATTGTCCTCCATACAACAACTGAATTCCACTTAGCTCACAAGCTAGTGTGGGAAATTTTGCCACTGTCGGGACTCGAACCTAGGACCTCCCGGTCAGAGGCACTGCAGTGACATCAGTTGATGCACTGACCTAACTCTCCCGTTAATACCAAGTAGTGGACCGACTGAAGGGGCTCAGGTCGTCAATCAATGTCATTGGAGTGCCTCTGACCGCGTGGTCATTGGATTAAGTCCTCGCGGTAATAAGACATATTAAGCGTTATAATGATACGAAACTAGTAGTGCTACAGAGTGACACAGCCGTTCCCGGTCTATTTCCTTCGGTCGCGGCTAGCTATTCAGACTTGCCACATACTCGTGTCATCTGCTCCGCTGGTGGGGAGATACCTGTTTGGGAAAACCGCGCTAGCCGGCGGTCCTACCATCCAGCGAGGGAAGATCAGCGCCACCATCGTAGGAAAAACATGCACTACACTTACAGGACTTATTATCTCAGTTGTTGTCGCGACCGGAATCACCAACAATCAACCAACTAACCACTCGATATTGTTATGGCTGTAGTTGACTGACTTACTGACTGTACGTTGTTGTGTATTGAATTAAAGTATCTATTGATTATAGACAGTCCATTTTAAAATAAAATTGAAATTGAGTATCTATAATGGTTAGATATTTTAATCCAAGGCATTTGAGACAAGTAGTCGTTGTTCTCGCGCCCGGAATCACCAACAATCAACCAACTAACCACTAGATATTGTTATGGCTGTAGTTGACTGACTTACTGACTGTATGTTGTTATGTATTGGATTAAAGTATCCATTGATTATAGACAGCCCGTTTTAAAACAAAATTGAAATTGAGCGTCTATAATGAATAGTAGTTGTTGCCGCTGTCACCGTGCGGTAGTTGATGAGCGGCTGCGTGCGGAAGTTGCGCGTGGCGGCCTCGGCCTGCGCGCGCAGGAAGTCGTCCATGGAGGGCGGCAGCGGCGTCGCCTGCGCCTGCAGCTGCTGCAGGATGTCGTCGTGGTCGTCGGGCGCCGGGCCCTCGCCCTCTGCCGGCGGCGGCGGCTCCGGCGCGCGTTCGGGGCGGCGCGGCCGCGGCGGCGCCCTGCGCGGACGTTCAGGTGCACAGGCAGCCACATACACACAGGTACACACTGGTAGGCATAAACACACAAGTGCACACAGGCAGGCATAAACACACAGGTACACACTGGCAGGCATAAACACACAGGTACACATTGGCTGGCATAAACACAGGTACACCTTGGCAGGCACCTTCACACAGTCAGGTACACACTGGCAGCCACGTACAGACAGGTACACATTGGCAGTCACATACAGACAGGCAGGTACACACTAACAGGCACATTCAAACAGGTAATACGTACAGATAGGAAGGCACACATAGGCAGGTATGCACTGGCAAGCATGTACACAAATACAGGCTCACACTGGCAGGCATAAACACACAAATAGGTACACACTAGCAGGTACATTCAAACAGGTAGTACGTACAGATAGGGAGGCATATACTCACAGACACGTATACACACAGGCACATACAAAAGACAGGTACACACTGGCAGGCACATACACACAGGTACACATTGGCAGACATATTCACAAATGCAGGTGCACACTAGCAGGCACATTCAAACAGGTAATACGTACAGATAATAAGACAGGTATACACTGGCAGGCATAAACAGACAGATACACACTGACAGCCACATACACACAGGTACACATTGACAGCCACATACAGACAGGCAGGTACATACTAGCAAGTACATTCAAACAGGTAATACGTACAGATAGGAAGGCACACATAGACAGGTATACTCTGACAGGCACATAAAAAATACAGGTACACACTGGCAGGCATGAACACACAGGTACACATTGGCAGACGTAAACACAGGTACACCTTGGCAGGCACACACACGCATACAGATACACATTGGCAAGCACATACAAAATACAGGTACACACTGGCAGTCACCCACAGACAGGTACACACTGGCAGGCATAAACACACAGGTACACATTGGCAGACGTAAACACAGGTACACCTTGGCAGGCACATACACACAGACAGGTACACACTGGCAGGCACATACACACAGGAACACGTCGACAGGAACATCCACACAGGTACACATACGCAAGCACATACACAAATACAGGTACAATCTGGGAGGCTCATTCAAGCAGGATGTACATACAGATAGGCAGGCACGTACACAGCGACAGGTATACACTGGCAGGCGCATTCACACAGACAGGTACTCTCTGGCAGTCACGTACCCACAGTCAGCTACACACTAGCAGGCACGTATACACAGATATGTACACACTGGCAGGCAAATTCAGGCAGGTACTACATATTGACAAACAGGCACATACGCACACACAGTTGCACATAAGTAGGCACATACACACCGACAGGTACGCAGTTACGCACCTGCAGGTACATAGTGGCAGGTGCGGTCAGGCAGGTAAATACATGCACAAACAATCCGGTATGGACGGGCAGGAACACTCTGAGAGGTACGGGGAGGCAGGCACATATTGACACGTACACACCAACAGGTGTGGACAAGCAGGAACTTATCAATCAGGCATTATGACAGGTATGGATTGGTATGCACACGCCGACAGGTAAGTACACGCAGGAGCAGGCAGGTAGGTACACGCCGGCATCTACTGATAGATAAGCGAAGACATGCCAACAAGACAACCAACATGCAGACACAGATAGGCAGGTACTGGCAGACCCATACGGAATGGTATATTTGGGCAGGTACACACGGACAGGAAGAGATAGACAGGCGCACACAGGTAGGAACAGACAGGTAAGTACATACTGGCAGGTATGGACAGACAGACGGTCGGAGAGCCACATTTGGGAAGGAACTAGCAGTTAGAGACATAAAGTTACACATAGGTAGGATCAGACTGGCAGGTACACACTGGCAGGTGCACACTGTCAGGTACACACTGGCAGATACACACTGACAGGTATACACTGGCAAGTAGGGTCAGGCAGATACAAACAGGCAGTAACGAATATGCAGTCACACACGGGGAGGCACAAACAGACAGGTACATGCTGGCAGGTTTGGACAGGCAGACACAGATGGGGAGGCACAGTTTGACAGGTACACGCAGACAGCTGCTGTGCCGCTGATATTAACGGATATTCTATGTACAGTATTCAGAATTGGTTTAGGCTTATTGTGTGTTAATGCTTCATAAATTAAATTAATACAAATCAGGTGTTTTTTTTCTGCATTCCGAATTTAGTTCAGATTATCCGAAATTTGTTGAGTTCTTATTAGCCGGGGTTCTACTGTGCTTCGATTTAGGACGAAACATGCAAAAAGTCTTATTACTATTTACACTCTATAGATACAGTTGCCGCGTTGTCGTAAGATTTAATGATACGCCACGCGAAATCTCACTATTACTTATCTGCTATAGTTTTAAATTTGTAATGTTACACATGTATGACTACTAACTGACTTCATTGTCTCTTAAAAGCTACCTGTAGAATGTAAAATTTGGAATGGAACGCAACAAGACGTCACAATATGTTGAACCTTTGGTAGTCTAAATATCATTTCATTCTCGTATAGTTTTACTGGAAATATTGCACAACTATTTATTTTTATAATAATGTTAATAGTACCAATATAAATTGTAAACTTTTCCAAACTAAGTAAATAACGTCATAACACGTAATTTTCTCTTTAAAATAATTCTTACATGACTTACTCTTACTATTCAAAATTCTCCCCTACGTGACTAATATTGGAAATCCTGAACTTAAAAATAATACTAATTAAAATACAAAAAATGTTCTTAATTTTATCTTGTGAGTCAGCTTAATCCTATTTATTGTATTCAATTAACTTACGTCTTGCACGGGGAATCGCCACAACTGCATATTGGTCCTTTCGGCTCTGTACTACCATCTCTTTCTTCTTTCTCTTTTGCCTCGGACACCGCGCTGAAACAAAAAAATAAAGATTTACAGCAGTTCGCCTTCCGATAGAAAAATAAAACGGGTCTTTGTCGGAGCCACAAGACTTTTAGTCGCACAAAACGTCACGACAGTTGAATCATCCAAATTATCGCGGGTTGCCTCATCGTGGAGGCTGCCGTACAGTGTTGCCAGATGTGTTTAGAGGGATTCCGCCATGTTCGTTTCAGTTTCCGCCGAAAATCCGCTGAACTGGTTTTATATTTCTCGCCTAAGTCCGCTAAACGTGAAATAAATTATTTTTCCATATTTAAATATATTAATTTATTCTATAAAAACAAAAATATGATTGCGAAATTGAACCCGCAATTCAATTTTTAGATAATATAGAATGCATTACTTGGGTGAAAATTTGCAAAATAATAATTGATTTCAGGTATTATATAACTTATTATGCAAGTATTATATTATTTTGTCTTGCTAGTAACATGGATTTAGAAATTTTAAAAATATACAACATCTGTGCAAAACAACTTATTAATAAAGGTTAATAAAAACTTGTGCTTTACTAATTTTACTGCTTTACTACCTTTATTAATTTCCGCCGTTTATTCCGCTGTCCGCGAAACTAATTTTTTTCCCGCCGTACGAGTTCAAAATCCGATGAAAACGGCGGGAATTCCGCTAATATGGCAACACTACTGTCGTACCTGGCACGTAACACTCACTTCATCTTTTGATCGATTGATTAGTAATTATGGCCTCGTCAACCAATAAGGTCATCGGTCCCGTATGTGTAGTGCATGTGTTATCGCGGGCGGTGGAGGTGATCTCCGCTCGAAGGCGAGGTCCGGCGCCGACCTAACTGCCGGCACCAGGGGTTTTTCCTAATCAGTTATCTCCCGGAAGGGGGCACCGCACCAGTGGGGACAAGCTCTAGGCTCCCGACCGGCCTCCCGGCGTGTGTGGTAGTGTGATACATGTAAGCATAAGTAAGGGTAATGTAAGTAGTAAGGGTAAGGACAAGTAGGATAGGACAAGGACGGGGAAGCGAAGATCGCGCGCGGTCCGTAGCCCGTTTGTCAGGGTAGTGCACCGGCATTCGCCTGGTGTTGATCGGTGAAACCAAGGAAAACTATCGATCAGAGCAGCCAGCCTCACTTTAGTTGATTTGAATTATTTTTGTCAATGAACAATAAAATTGTATATGACCTATGAGGTAGAGCACAATCTGCATAAGTTTTCTTGTGTTCTGAAATCCTTTCCTCAACTTTTATTCATTATTTCAAATAGGTAAAACGTATGGTTCATCAAAGAGAATTAGATTACGATTCCTTAAAGACTCCCTTCGTTCACCTTAAATCATTTACCCAACTTCCCCTTCCTTAAAATTCCACCCCCCCTTAAAATTATCACAAATTACTCCAAAACCTTGTATCTACAGTTTCTTTCATTGGCTAATTAAAATGCATCATCAGACCCTGAGACAGGAGATTATGCATGCGGATGTCCATCCGTAAAAGTTAATATTTAAACTTTTGTATAATGAAAACCCCCGAAGGGCGGAAATGCCGAGCAGGCAGAAATACATTTTAATAAACTTTTAATCATAAATAGTTCAATGATGAATAAAAGTACTAACAAAGCTTCGTTCGCAACATTTTAAAAACAAGAAATGTTTGCTCCAAAGTTTTAGAAAACTTGTTTACATGGGTAAACGATCTACAGATTTGATTTTTCAAATAAAATAAATAGTAAAATATATAAACTCACACTCCATCTCCTCTTATCACAACTAGCAAAAAGAGAACTCAAAAAACGTGTGAATAGTGAAGCTATTTTTTATGTTCAGAAGCAAAACAAGAATCTGTCTCAGCATGTTCTCAATGGATCAGGGAAACTGGACAAAATGCCTAATTGAAATGAAGGTTATTGACACAAAAGCTGAAGTACATTACTTATTACAGGTATATAAATGTTTTTAAAACTATACAATTCAAATGTAAACTAATGTATTATACTCGTTCAGGGTAAGTCATGTAGTGTAATAGTACACATATACAGTGTAACCTCTTGTATTTTTTGAACGCTTGAATTGCAATGCAGTTATCAAGTGTATGAGGGATGAGATTAATTGATGTATGTATTCGTTTCCATTTTATCGCTTGTATTTTACGAGATATTGAAGTAACGTTTCTAAACAGAACTGTACATACTTTTTGTCTATCACTACAAG